TACCAGTTGCGGGGTTTTCGTGTTTTTCCCCTCCCACCCTCCCACCAGTGTTTTTTTTTTCGTTTTGGGCCCAGTACCCTAGAGTAATAAACTGGGTGTTTCTTGCGATTACGATTCCTATTTGTATAGTCGCTGGGGGGGGCTGCCCCCCCCCCAGACCCCCCCTCAAAGGCCTTACGGTATGCTGTAAACAACACCTGACGTCTGGAAACACACATGCCGTACCACCATCGTTCTGTGCACCTAACTGCATTTGCGCCAGTGTCTCTGTGAGCTCTGTGGCGCGGAGCCACTTTGACTGTCCATAAACGTCGTGAGCACGCGAAGGCAAAGTTATATATATGTATGTACACTGTCGGCACCCACCATCAACAGCACCGCATTGCACCAGCCGCCGACCAGTTGCTGGCTAGGCCTCTGCACCACATATCAGAAGCTAGTCGACTACGGTGTCTTCAGGAACTGCGGCATGCCTATCCTTGTCTTCTGTATTATCTAATTCTTCTTCTAAATGTTTGGGGCATTGCGTCTGCGGAGTTTCTGAGCCGTTTGCTTTGGTCAAGAATGAACGAATGACCCGTTGACCTAAGTTGAATGCAACAGCGGGCCGTCTCATGGTGATATCATCAAATATCTTATATATAAATAGTGTATATAGGGTTTCGCAGGGTAGCTGCCACGGGCGAAGATACACCCCCCTGTTTCACACATCATAAATAGTGTATAAGCTCCAAATGTTCAGCTTTATATATGCAGAAGACATTTGGGGCGACTTATGGCCGAAGTAATGAACCAGTACACCAACTGACCCAACGACTCCATTTCTTCCAGGCTCAGACCCCCATTTATTCCCAAAAAAGTAACATAGTACCAAAAAATACACTGTGCCTCCCACCCTCCCACCACCACCCCGCAAACCCCATTTTCAAGGACAGGACAAAAATGTTCCGTCTCTCCCGCCCTCCCCCCTTCCCTTAATCTCCCGGGCTATTTGTGCAGTCCATGACGCAACGACTTTCAACCGAAACAGGTTCCAACCGACTCCGTGCCGTACGGAATCCAACCGCGATCCAAATCCGCATTATGTCGACCTTCCCGCCTTCCCACTCGTGATTTCATCCCCCCTCTCCGCCCACCTCACGATGTCTGGATCCAGATCCACTAGACAGTTGAAAGCGAGATCCAGTACCAGGAGATTGCGGCGCGGAAGAGCCGCTGCGCGCCGCGGCGGCGGCAGCAGCGAAAGCAGGCGGCGGCGGCGCCGCTGCTGCTGCCGTTGCGGCGGCCGTGGCCGCTGTAGCGGCCGCCACTCAGCCTCATCCTGGCGGCTGCCATCGCCATCAATGGCGACGGCGGCGCCGCCGCTGCCGCCGCCGCCGCCGCCGCCACCGTCGCGCGGCGATGTGTACAGCAGAGACCAAAGGTTCGTTGCCGGCAGTAGCGACGCCGGCAAACGTACTAGTTTATTGTACGACAGCCGTAGAACCGCCAGTTCGGACAGAGCCCACAGACTTGTCGGCGCCTCCTCCAGGCTATTGTACGACATATCCAAGTACGACAGGTGTGCGCTGTACGGCAGGAGGCAATCCGGGGGTAGGGCTGGGCCCAGACGGCAACCTGCATGTTCCGGGGAGTCCATTAGCTTTCAGGGGGGCCCATACACACATACATACATACACATATACACAATACACATACATACATACGCACACACGCGTTACGGTCTTACTTATGCAATGCGCAACAAGTACGGCATTTCCGGACGTTATGGGGCTCCCGCTTCCTAGTCTTCTTGCTCCCCCCCCATCGGTGGGTCTAGATTAGGTTTGGTGGGGCTGGGGGGGGGAGAGGGTGGGGCGTGTGTGTGTTGATTTTACCTCCTTTTTAATACCCTGGCGATTTCCCTTCTTTTTCCACACACACGAAAGTACCACCACCACCACCACCACCACGGTAGCCAATTTTCTTCTCTCCACCTTCAACTCCTCTCTCCCAATCCTTGGAATGCCGTACCTGCAAGATCCAACCGACGCAAACTGGTCAGTCCCGAAAGCTCCGACGGCCACCACACCGCCGCCGCCGCCGCCGCATAAGCAGCTGCTACAGCATCAGCCGCCGCCGGCCCCGCCGCCGGATGCGGCTGTTGCGGCGGCGGCGGCGCCGCCGCAGCTGCTGCTGCTGCTGCTCCTGCTGCTACAGCCTCCGGCGGCGGTTGGTGGTTGAGCGGCAGTGGCAACTCCAACACTGCTGCCTCGCGCACCAACGGACAAGCTCTCAGGCTGAGGAAGGTCAGGGCGGTCAGAGCACTTAGTGACCCACGGGTCAGCGCCAAGGGCCCGTTAAAACTCAGATCCAGAGCCGTCAAGCTGCCTGCGGCAGTAATAGCCGAAATGAGGAGCAAAGTGTGATCAGTTGACACACACAGACACACAGACAGACACACACACACACAGACACAGACACACACATTGGTTCATTTACTGGAAGTGGAGGGGAGTGAGAGGGAAGTGCGGGAAGGGGGGGGGATGTCAAAAAAGCCTCCGAAAGCTCAGTACCAATTCAGTATTATATATCTGCACATTCTCTCAGTACCAATTCAGTATATATATCTGCACATGGAGCAATAGAAAATGCATTCGTTGGTTCGTGGCTCAGCTCCTCTCATTGTCAAAGTTTGAATATCCTTTCCTTTTTTTAAAGCGCCTCCGCCGTGACAATGTAATGGTATTATCGATCCATCAACGAATACTATATAACCGTTAATAATAACTGTGTACGACTTTGCAGGTAGCATAATACATGCCAAAACAAATCCGTTCTCGCTCCATCTCGTATAGATCGTATGCCAATTGCCGTACTCCGATGGAAGATCGGACGCCATGAGACTCCAGTTCTCAATATACATAGAATAGAACTCCACAAAAAGAAATGGCTCAGTGTAGCAGCAACAGCAGCTGACGCCTTGTACGACACATATAGTACGACATGCAGCATCGACACACGCACCGAGTATGACCAGCAGCAAAAGAAGTAAAGCACCACCACCAGCAGCCGCAGCAGCAGCCGCAGCCGCTTTGCCTATTCATTCCTCTCCCACCGTTTCCTCCCCCCCCTTGCCTCCTTCGCATCAGTACCGCCGTACTGCCGTACCTGCCAAAAGCCGCAGACCCCTGGGTACGGCCAGAGGGGGGTTGACGGCCAACACCGCCAACATCGGCCCCACGCCGCCGCCGCCTCCAGCAGCGGCGGCGGCGGGGCGACGATGGTGGCG